AACTGACTCAAATTTATGACTTTGCAGTATCATGGGATCATGTGATCACCTTTTATGACCTTCTGACAAGCAGTCAATGGGGAAGCCAGATTCACTAAACAACTGTGCTACTAATTTAACAATTATAATGATTCACTTAACAACTCTGACAAGAAAGATCATAAAATGGGGCAAAACTCACTTAACAAATGTCTCGCTCAGCAACATAAATTTTGGGCTCAATTATGGTTGTAAGTCAAGAACTACCTGTACACATCTTTGCAAAAAAAAGGAAATTTATTTTGTTTACACAAATAAACATTTTGATAAACTTATTCTTTTCTATATCTTGTAGTAGCAAAGATAAGCTTCAAAATACACACACAAATGCTTCAAATAAAGTTGATGATTTCCAATTAATCAAGGTAGGTGTCTTTAACATAAATGCCTTCACCTCATCTATAACGGAAATAGAGCAAAAAAATCTATTTAATACAGCAAAACCAGGTGTGGCCCAAATACATGCACCCACTTCAAATCAACTGCTCTTTCAGTTCTTACTTTTTTATGCACAATTAGCAGCAATATGTCAGAGGTTTCTTTGCAGAAATGTTCTGAATAGAGAAGACTCTTATGCAAGATTACCTTTTCTCTTAACTAAAGTTCTATCAATGTCAAATGTGTTTCTTATTTTAACTTATATGCAGAGCACATCGTGAGAAAAGATGGGCTAGATGAAACAAAAGTTGGAATTAAGATTGCTGGGAGAAATATCAACAACCTAAGATATGCAGATGATACCACTCTAATGGCAGAAAGTGAAGAGGAACTAAAGAGCCTCTTGATGCGGGTGAAGAAAGAGAGTGCCAAAGTTGGCTTGAAACTCAACATTAAAAAAAACAAAATCATGGCATCCGGCCCTCTCAATTCCTGGCAAATAGATGGGGAAGAAATGGAGGTAGTGACAGATTTTATTTTTCTGGGCTCCAAGATCACCTCAGATGGGGACTGCAGCCAAGAAATTAAAAGACGCTTGCTCCTGGGGAGGAAAGCTATGGCAAATCTAGACAGCATACTAAAAAGCAGAGACATCACCCTGCCAACAAAAGTGCGTATAGTCCAGGCCATGGTTTTCCCAGTTGCAATGTATGGCTGTGAAAGTTGGACCATAAGAAAGGCTGAGCGCCAAAGAATTGAGGCCTTTGAACTATGGTGCTGGAGAAGACTCCTGCGAGTCCCTTGGACTGCAAGGCGTTCAAACCGGTCAGTCCTAGAAGAGATCAACCCGACTGCTCTTTAGAAGGCCAGATCTTGAAGTTGAAACTCAAATACTTTGGCCACCTGATGAGAAAGAAGAACTCACTGGAGAAGGGCCTAATGCTGGGAAAGACTGAGGGCAATAGAAGAAGGTGACAACAGAGAATGAGATGGCTGGATGGAGTCACTGAAGCAGTAGGTGTGAACTTAAATGGACTCCAGAAGATGGTAGAGGACAGGAAGACCTGGAGGAACGTTGTCCATGGGGTCGCGATGGGTCGGACACGACTTCGCAATTAACAACAACAAAAAAAAGTATTCATTTTTATTTTGCATATGATGTCATTAAGTTTAGCAAGCTATTCAAGTAATTTTTATTTTGAAATACGTGAGGGGTTTAAAAAAAAAAGGATTGCCACCTATAATTTTTAGGTTTTCTAGTTGATTTTAGGTTTTCTAGTATTTGATCTTCACAATTTTTAAGATATACAATATTCCAAATCTATAAATAGTTTCTGAAACTTTTATATATTTGTCTCTTTGAAAAATAGAATATTTACAATACTTCGTTGAAATCTGATATCTGGAAGAAATCAAACAACTATGCAACTGTCCCCTATGTCACACTGCAACATATTTTTGATACTATAGACCTCTACTAACTCTACTATTCAAAATAATTTTTTTATTCCAATTCTTAGGCATACTTAAACTAATGTTATATTTTCAATATAGCAAAAATACATGAAACTTAATTGCATAGTAAACACAAAAATATTATGAAAAGACTTGTTTTGAAATATTAACATTATTGGAAATTAGCTAGCCTTACTCCTTCATTAAAGTATCAAAACAGGAATTTTATAATTTTACTTCCTTTAACAAACGCACAATAAAAGTTTTTAGCAATTACTTAACACTGCAAAATTATTTTTTGCCAGGTACCTGTGGCTAATACACAAATTATGTATAGTAGTCTTGAATGCATAGTTCAGTATATGAGAACAAATAGGTATTTCTTCTTTCACAAAACCACATAATATTGACAAATGTTTGTTTTCTTAATACATTAAACAGTTATATCTTTTAGTAACATCAGTCACTTGCACAAAAATAATCTTAAAGTAGTAGTCCTGATTTCCCAACTTTTAAAAGACACAGAGAGATGAATTCAAGCTGCTACATGTCAAATCCCATGTCCATTCTCAACCCAGCAATCAAATTTTGCCACCTCTACGTAAATTATTGGCTTAGCAGCCAAACATATTGATATAAATCCAGAATGTAAATTAGGCGTAGAAATGGCATACACAATTTCCTTTAAAAAACCCTTATCCTAATCACATTCTTGGCATATACTACATGTTTACTGTAGGATTTAGAATCTGCCAAGGACCATTGTAGTAACTATAGACTTTGGACTGCTGTTAAGTCCTAGGCACCAACTGTTTTTCAATCCTGGTGTGCATCAGAAACAACAGGTTGTTCCTGCTGATTGAAAAAAAGGAGACTGAAGCCAGGAATATCCAGCCAAGCTTAATATTAACCCAATGGTAATGTGAAAAAGTTACAGCTTTTCTCAATCTAGTGTCATTTATAGATACTAGGATTATAGTTCTTAGGATTTTCAACCAGACATAAAGAACAACAGCTTGGAGCAGAATACAACCATAATAAAACCTTACAAAGCCTTTCCAAAAAAGATTTGTATATTAAATGTCCCTATGCAATCTTAGCTGATTGTCAATTTCAAATGGTCCCTGAAAGCACATTAGATATTCCTGTGCCTTACTCTTCAGGAACTATAACTTCATCTCTACACTGTAATATCCCAAAGGTGCTTTTTCAAGAGGCAACTGGACTTACTTGTTTTTTTTTTTAAGACTTTTCGCTTCTCATCCAAAAAGCTTCAAGATGAGAAGCTTCTTGGATGAGAAGCTAAATGTCTTCAAAGAAAAGCAAGAAAGTCCAGCTGCCTCTTGAAAAAGCACCTTTGGAACAACCATGAGCTGGATGACTAAGAATCTCCATACACACCTAAACCACTTAGAATTCCTAGTGACAGCTAGGGACATTCTCCAAAATCGCTACTGAAAAACAAATTATTTAACACAAAAGATATGCTCCTGAACCTTTAAAAATGCATCTATGACTTACCAGCAAGTTTTCTAACCATTATTATTAATTGCATTTGCATTTTCAAGATTAGTATGAAAAACTATAAATATAATGGATAATTTCACCACTGTAATGGTAATGTTAAAATTGTAAAATAATTTATGTAGTATTTCCTTAATATGTGTGGAATATGTTAATATAACATTGTCCTATTAATACTAAAATACTCTGATGTGTAATTACACCTGGAAATCCAAGCAATTACAATTAATTAGAAAAACAAAGCTGCTGTGCAGCTTCCTTTTTTTTTCTTCTGCTCAGTTGTGTCCAATTCTCAGAGACTGCCTGGACAAGTTCCTGCAGTTTTCTTGACAAGATTTTTTACAAGTGTTTTGCTATTGCCTCCTTAAGGCTGAGAGAAAAAGATTGGCTCAAGATAACCTATCTGACTTGTGCCTCACAATCTCCCAGTTTCTAGTTTGATGCCTCAATCAACACACAACAAACTGTCACTTGCAGCTAGATTCATATTCAGTATTGTTCAGTGGCTCTTAAAAAGATATACAGCTTTTTGACATTCAAAGCCAATAAATGAAAAGTTAACAAATAAAAAGAAAATGTGCTTTGTCATTGATAAGATAGTCCTGGTTACAAAAATCGTAGCTACAAATGAAACGGTACCTAAATTTACAGATACATTTAACTGAACCAACTCTTTTTTTGTGTATGGACAGAATTACTGCCTGAACAGGTGGTTTGTACATTAATTTGTTTAAAGTTTAATAACTAAAATTTCCCATAAACAATTTGCTATGTTATCTCAGATATCATCTTGATTATTACAATAATTCTGCAGGGATAAAGCACACAGACTTAAGCTCATAAAGATATGTGGCTAGTACAAATTTTAATGCATGTCTAAAGCTTTAAGAGAACACTTAGAATTATTTAATATTTCAGATTTCATGTCAAGTTTACAATATTTGATATGGATCTTTTAAAAATATTTTCCAATAAATACACTGGAGAGAAATCTTTCTACTATATCAAGCAATATATTGTCAATGTCACTGGGATGCTTATAACAAAGGCAGGACTACTTTCTAGTCAGCAAAATCAAGAGATGTAGAAAGCAATACATGGACATATCTGATCTTATTTCAGACCTATTAAAACTGCAGCTTAAAAGCAAATTCTGTTGTATTAACTTTGAATAAAGAACTGGCCATCTCATTCAGGTTAAAGAGAATGATGGAGAACAAAATGGAGTTTTCATATCCAGGAATTGGGGATGTTCGTATTACAAAGCTTGCGGAAATGATCGTACAAGAATAATCTAGGCTTTAAAAGAGGTCTATTTCTAAAGTTAATTTATCTGACCACCTGCTCCATCTCTACTTTCTCAACTTAAAACAGGAATTCAGGCCCTTTCGAGAAGGCAAAGCGGGGATATCAGACTCCAGGCCCGAGATGTTGGAACCTTTCCTTCCTACCTACCAAATATCACAGGCCCCGTTGTGTTAATCGAGGGCAGGGTCAGGGCTCGGGGCTCCAGGAAGGAAAGGGAGGGGAGAGAGAAGAATGGATGCCAAGGACGCCAATGGCTTCGGCTTCAAGGGGGAGGCCTTATCCCCAGCCTTTCTGACCTGTCCCTGGGGTCGATCCACGAAGTCTGCCGGGTGTTGTGGTCGATGTAAAAGACGCGTCCGTCGTAGTCCCTCGCTTCCTCCCAACCTGCGGGCAAAGGCAATTCCGAGCTCTCTCGGCCCCGCGGCCCGCTGCCACCTCCGATCGCCGCAGACGGCACGACAGGAGGCTGCCCCTTCCCTGGTCCTCCGGGCGCCGCCGCCTGTTGCTGCTGCTGCTGCTGCCGCCGTCTCCGTCCTCCGCTAAGCCACGGCATGGCTTCGCCGACGCTCCGGGGCCGCAGCCTCGGCGGCAAGCGCTGTCTCTCCAGCAGCCACTCTTCGACCGCGGGGCTCCGAATGCTCCGCGCCGCCGGCTCCTCCAGGCCTGACTAATGAGCGGCCCAACCGCGTGAGGCCACAAGCAGTCGGCTCCGGCTGCAGCAGCACCACCGCCGCCGCTCCGGATTCACCATTCTCTCAACCTCCCGCCTCCACCCCGGCCGGGCCCCGCAACCAGCCCAGCCGCCGCCTCAGCTGTCCCTTCAAAGCGGCCCTGGCCACGTCCGAGGAAGCAGGGGAAGCAGCAGCCACAGCAAGATTCCCGCCCTTGCTGCCTGCCTGCGTGCCTGCCTCCGCGAGTGGCTTCCCCTAGCGGCTTAATTTCGCAGTCTCGTCGGCTCCTATGCCGCCAGCGTCCGCCCCGCCATCTTCTTTCGCTCCCTCGCTCTGCCCAGAACTCACGCCCCCCCCCCGTCCGCTTCCACTACGCCCCTTCTGCTACTGCGGCTGCTGCTTCGGGATACCCACTTGGAAGCCGTCCGGATTTCCCGGACAAGCCGGCGGGCTGAGGAGGCTCCCTCGGAAGGAAAAAGTAAGACGTGGGAGGGGAACGAAAACGTTGCTCAAATCGCTCCTAACTTCGGCCTTGAAGCGATAATTGACAGACGGGACTTTTAAAAAGATGAGAGATTCCGGATTTCCTTTCAGGACAAAGGGAAAGAGGAGCGGTTGTTAAATAACTCACTTTCCTGACAGTGTATGCAAGCGGGAATTCTTTTCTGAACCGTACAAAATGTTGGCACTTTTTAATCAAAGATCTACCCTGGAAAGTCCCGCTAACGAGTCCGACTGGTTTAAGGTGTGGTGTGCTTCGAATATACTGAAGGTAAACGAAATATGCCAAAAATCTGTAAATGGAACTGTGGGACATGCGAAAGTCAGGACTTCAGGTAGTATAAACTCATTTATATCCTTTACTGCGGAGGCAGAAACATATTTATATTACATTTTCAGCATATTTAGCTATCAATCAGTTCAGTGGAATTTACGGTATTTTAAGTCGGTGCCTAACAATGACATTGCTACAGGAGCTGTTCCCACTTTTATCTCTTGAAAGCTCATTGGTTGTTCCTTTTTGGTAAAGCAATTTGGTTAAATGCATAGTGGATTTAACTTGTCTCAATAACTGGTTTTAGAGAGGCGCTAGTTCTTTAACAATTCTGTCCTTTGCTTAAAGAAATTAAGCTGAATTTGTTTTTCTGAGGGTGAAAAAGTAATCAGGTTTTCTCCAGTGTAACAATATTTCTAAAGTTTTCTATGTATTTTTAGACAGCCAGAAAAAGCTATTATTCTTCACAATAATTATTTAAATATAAAGTAATAAATTGCATACATATAAATAATTGCATAATTGCTCCTAATTCAGTAGGAGTACCTCCTAATTGGGGTATCTGAACCTTTTTAAAAAATATAATTCCAAACCTCACAGGGTGGGGTGGGATTGTCAGAGCTTAATACTGAATAGCTCTCATAATAATGATCTCCATTTCTCTTCCCTTTCCTGGGACATTTTAAGGCAAAATGCATTTTCCCAGTCTTTCTCACACTTTTTCCCATATGTAATAATGCAGGAAACCCGGAACAGTGTTATAGTCAAGAAAATTGTGCACAAGAAGTTTGGCTTATTTTTTTCCCTTTCTCTCTAAGGATGCATGAATTTCAAAGGAAGCCTCTACTGATAATGAGAAGATTGGTTTTTTTATTTAATTGCATTAAATACATTATATGTATATGAATTTTATTTAATTACATTACATGCATCTTTATGCAGGCAATCCTTGTTTAGCAACTGCCATATTTAACAAATGTTCGCATTTTCAATGGTGATGAAAAACAACTATGACCAATACTCATATTTATTTTATTTTATTTTTAAAAAACAAGTTTTATTAGTTTTTTTCATTTTACAAACAAGTGCTTACGAATCAACATGGTGGCAGGGTAGTCAATTGTCCAAAAACAAAGTCATACTCATATAGTTCAGATTAAATCATTAGAAACCCCCTCTCTATTCCATCTAATGATATATTATATTCAAATTAATGTATTTCAATACAACTAAAGTCAATCCAAACAATCATCAATAACATTTCATCTAAATAAGTCCAAATCCTGTATTAAGCGTTACTATTTCAATTGCTATATTCCATATTGCTAGTATAAATACATAATTAACACTTCAGGTGTCTCTCCATTCCCTTTTTCCTTAACATAGTCAATAATCATTTATTAATATCATTTCTTCTTTTTTCTTATTCTTCTTCCATAACAAAATAACTATCATTTCTAATAGGAAAAATATTAGTTCAAAAAAGAAAAGAGAAAGAAAACAAAAAACAAAAACAAAACAAAAAAGAACAAAAATACCTTTCTACTCTATTATACTTTATAATCTATCAATCCCTCAATATATGTTTCAGACTCCTTTAACCCTTCCCAAAATTACTATATCCACAACAAACATGTTAATACATAAATAAACTTCTTATTTAATTCAAATCTTTAATTAATTTTTATTCAATCTAACATCTTATTTGACTGCCTTAAACCATAAATCAATCCATGTCTAATAAACCTTTTAAACCCGTTATATAAAGCCTTGAGTCACACTCTTAAAACTTATTCTAGCTTTCTTTTTATTCCAGACAGGTTTCCATAGCAATGCCTCTATATCAATGAACAAGTCACTTTTTGTGCCTTGTAGTATCCTTTGGGTCAAACAAAAGCGTCCCGTTTTCTGTTTTAGAGACCTAGCTCCTTTGTAAATAATCCCATGTTGTTTTAAAGAGTCAAGTCTCCACATCTCAAACTGTTGAATAACAAACTCAGTTATGTCCAACTTTGTAGTTAATAGTTGCTTATCCAAGCTATCTTGGTTCTCGGTTAGTTGAGCTTGTCTATCCATTTCTGTTGGTTTTGGAATTGTAAGTGGTTTAATTACAGTCCTTTTTGGTTCCTCAGGGATCTCATCAGAATGCATATGAAGTAAAGTGGAATCTTCTTTAATCTTAGTTGGTTCTGCTTCTGTTGTTTTTTGGTCTGTAGAATGCTCAGATAGAGTCTGGGGGTCAATTTGTAGATTTAAAACAGAATTTCTGTTTCTTATTGCTCTAGTGTACTCTTTTATTTGCAAACATATTTGGTCAGTAGCTTCATAAAGTTTTTCCAGTATGAGTTTATGGTCAAGTTGAACATAGGGTTTCTCCATTTCAAAAATAATTAGAAACAGTTGTATCTTTTAGTAGAGGCTGTGTTCAAGGAACATTTAATCAGTATCCACTCCCACAAATACAGCTGTTAAGTTTCTTTGTCTTTTCCCTTTTATGGTAATCTGAAGGTCAAAGTCAGTCTCACCATCAGAAAAAGAAACAGTTGCAATTTTGACTTTTTCCACAAAGTGTCCTCAGTAAAATATAAAATCTCCTCCCAGACACTAGGGATAATGTTAACAAGATCAGAAAACACACGAAAAAGGAAAATTCTTCAAATGTAGACTAAATCCAGTAATAAATTCAATACTAATTTTTTTTTCCCAGGACCCCAAAGTGAATAAAAAAATAAAAAAATAAAAAAGTCACTTTAAATTAATTCAATCCATTTAAGCTTCTTTTCCCACACTCATAAACGCCGCCTTCTTAGAGTAGGGAAATAATTTCAAAAGTGCTTTTTACAGGCACAAAAGAAAAAGGAGAACCAAGAGAGGGGGGGGGGAAATCTCACCTGGCTCAGCCATGGTGGTTCCTGCGCTTAGATGTTCTTCTGAGTTCTGGTTACAGCGGCAAGGTGAAGGGCTATTTTAATTGCCGGTCTTTCCACTGTCGGCCCAAAGGAGCAATCTCGGGCTGTGGAAGAAGCTGCTGCTCTCCATGGATGACAAGGACCTCCTCAACGGTAGCCGCCCCCCCCCCAGGGTGGCTTTTCGACCCGATTAAGGGTCTACCGGCAGCAGAGAATCAGCTGGTGAAGAGAGCAGTCTCTTCGCACAGCTGCAAGCGCCACGATCCGGAACTGGAAGTCACCAATACTCATATTTATGACCCTTTTTGTTCTGTAAAGCAAAGAGAAGCTGAAGTAAGATTCATAAGTACAGTTGAAATTTCATATAGCCGCCACTTTATTTAATGACAGTTTCTGGCAATATTCACTAAATGAGGACTACTTATATACTTTTTGAATGAATATTAAATAATGATTTGTCCATATATGTTATAAAAGAAAGCTTATATGGGATGTTCTTACTTTTTCACATGACTGTAAAATCTGTTGCATTTTTATATTAAATATCATATAATTCTAATTTTTAAAGTATAGATCAGAGGTCCCCAACCTTTTAGGCATCAGGGACCGGTTCAATGGACCCCTGGTATAGATAATTATATTTATGACTCATTTGTACATATAGCAGTATAATTTGAAAAGAATTTCTGTATTATGTATTACATCTTTTGATTACATGTTGTAATTTCAGGAGCACAGATCAATAATTCAGGACAAAGAATGTCGTTGAAGCCATGCAGAAGATTGTAGATGTTCACTGCAGAAATTAGAAGACATTTCATTCTATCTCTCTAATGATTGTGTGATCTGTAACTCCATTAAATATTCCTTCCATATCAATGTCATTAATTGAAAATGTTGAAGAATATTATGCCTGGGGTTGAATCTTACAAAATCACATTTAGTACATCACCACTTTGATGAGAAACGGTTGACAATCATTATGATTTGAAGCTAGTTGGTAAATTTTGCTGCAACAATTCAAGAAACTAGTATGACCTTCATAAGCTTCTCTTGTTCTTCATACATCTCTCAGTTCTACAAAGAAATTCCTCTTTTTAGATGGATATAGTTTAATTTTTCTTTTATTTATAACATATCCATCTTTGTTTACAATTGAAATACTGGGTTATTGATATGATGGAATTTCCTTTTTCCTTCCCCTCCCCTTTATCCCTCATAAAAAAAAGCTTTCAAACACTTGTCTACATCTTGAAGAACTAGGATTGTTTATAAAGTTAAAACTCATGACTCCTCTATGACAGAGGGGGTAAACAAATAGAATGAAATATAAGAGGAAACAATAAAATATATGGAAATGTTTATAGATGGATGGTAAGGACAATCAATGACTTAGCAGTTTTTAGTCACTTTTAATCACCAAACCTCAACTGTAATATAGCCACCTAGAATTCATGACATAAAAAGTTACTGTATTGGCTGGATTCGTATATGGCGATAAAAGATTACACATTAAACATGCTGTCATGGTCTAATTCCCAGGCAGTGTTCGGTAATGAACCATTATTTACACAGTTGAATACTTGGTTTTCTAGATTATAGAAAAACCAAAGGAACCATGTTATGACTAGCAAGATGTTCAGTTTTCCCTGGATTTCATATATTGTTGTTGTAACGTGCAGAAATAAACCATCCGTTGTTCCTATCACTGAAACTATATAGGATATAATTAAACGACACCCCACAAAATACAGCAGCCTCTGTCATGGTATTTTAATTTTTTTTACTTGAGATGTTGCCTTTCTGTTTAAAAGGAACACTCAAGACACCTTATAATTTAAAACAATAGAAAAGTAATCCATCTTTAAAAGCCAAGCTGAAGAAATACATCTCACTTTTTTTATCTTTAGAAAAAGGTAAGTCACAGGGACAATGTTGTGTCACTCGGGAATTAAGGCAAGAGAAGATCCTCTTGACATACCTGCCAGGCAAGCCTTCTGAGATCAGAGTCACCTTCCAAAGGACATCTGCACATCTTACTCAGATAGGTTTCTAAATGAAGAGGCACCTATGCAACAGTTGCAGCTGATGTATAGCAGTTATGTAAGTAGACCACGCAGCACTATCTGATCCAGTGACAATCAGTCAAGGAGATTTGTTTCCCCATGCTTCTATCATTGTCTTACTCAAATCAAATGTGTGCCCATTATAGGTAGTCCTCAACTTACAACAGTTCATTTAATGACAGTTCAAAGTTACAATAGTATTGAAGAAAGTGACATGACTATCACACTTGTGGCCATTGCAGCCTCCCCATGGTCATGTGATCAAAATTCAGACAATTGGCAACTGATTTGTATTTATGACAGTTACTGTGTCCCAGAGTCATGTGATTACCTTTTGTAACCTGACAAAGTCAATATGGAATCCAGATTCACTTAACAACCATGTTATTAACAACTGCAGTGATTCACTTAACAACTGTGGCAAGAAAGTTTGTAAAATGGGGCAAAATTCACTTTTAGCAACATAACTTTTTGGATTAATTGTGGTTGTAAGTCAAGGACTACCTGTACTAATTTTCTATTTTTTATTCCCTGAACAGCCAGCCAGCCATCTAGCCAGCCAGCCAGCTGAATCTTCACTGACCTGTTCAGCAGCATTTAAAGCAATTGCTTCAAAAAGCGTTTTATACAACATACAGATCTGTGTATAAAATACTTCTCTTCAATCTGTTAAGGCAGGCTATCCTCACTAGTGCAACTGTTTCAGTACTGCTTTTGGATATCTTCATACATAAGAAATCATAGCTTTGTTGCAAAATTAGTTGAAGGGAAGGATTTGATGTGTAATATATATTGCAAAACATGTTTTTTGAAGCATTTACATGGCCCCAATATCTCTTGGATCTATATTGCAAATTTTAAGATACAGTTCTAGAAATAGCTCTCTTGTAAAAGTGAGGCCACATGTATATAAAATAGAAATGCATAACTATTTATGAAGCAATAAAATTGCTATAAATTATTCTAGTTGAATGGCTAATAATACAATAACTAAATTTGCATAAAACAAGTTTATAAAACTAAATATATATTGATACGAAAATCTACTATTATATACTAGATGTACCAAAAACAGGAAACAAAGGTATAAAAATATGTACTTTACACACAAACCTTTGTGTGAATAGTAAATATTAGATGGTCATATTATTAGATTTTACGTATGTATATTAAATTTTAAAATGTTCATAAATAGCTTCTTAATTTCATTTAAAGTTCTTATGAAATGAATTTTGCTTTCTTACCATTTCCTTTAGCTTTACAGTATAACACTATTGCATTAGATAAATCATAAATGTGTACAAACCTAATGGATTCAGACTTACAGGTTAAGGTGCTCAACATACGGCCATTTGATAAAACTCAAAACATGCTATTTTTTTGTAGAGTTGGATTCTTGAATTTCTTGCCCTATACTACCATCTTGTGGTTATGGTGGTTTATTATTTCATGCTTTCTCTTTTTCCCATATAGTATATAAATTATAAGTGTGCTACATAATATTTAGAAGAAGAAAGTAAAATTGCCTATTTAAAGATAATTGTCTTTCTAATAGTAAAATGCAAATTTGGTGTTAACTATTCATTGCTTCATTGACCTTTTTAGCAGCCTACAGAATTCTATGTGCATGTAAATATTTTTTTGAATCTTTTTCTTTTTTATTAGTTTATAATACAAAATACAAAAATAAAATAGTAGGAAAAATAGGGGAAGGAAAAGGGAATGTAGAAGAGTGTAGAAAAGAAGGGAAAAAGAAAGAAAACGCGTTGAATTTCTACTCCCTTTGGTGCAGTAACATAAGATAGTAACATCAAACCTCATTTTTGTATTTTACATAATACTATAAACTAGCGATGAGAGGTCCTTGGTGCTCTCTGAACTTGCTTATTTTCTTGCAAACATTTCATTACTCTAACTAGTTAACATCATCAGTGCTAAGTTGGTAAGAAGTGCTATTTGCTGTCAGTTTATATTTTGGTGTCTTGCCTGTGTGGTCTTAGAGATTCTTTGGTTGGGCTGTTTAGTAATGGCTCTTTGGCAGTTTCTTGATTGGGTTATTGATTACTTGATTGTTGGTCTGAAGGTGACTTTGGAGTTAATCTATGCCAGTGGTGGCGAACCTATGGCACGCGTGCCAGAGGCGGAACTCAGAGCCTTCTCTGTGAGCACAGACACCGTCACCCCAGCCCCGTCTCCCCCCGCAGCCTCCTCACCAGCAGCCCCCCCCCAGAGGAGAGTCAACCACAGGTGCGGACTGCGCAGAGCAGTGCAGCGAAGGACATGGCAGCCGGGACAAGACTCCACCCTCCCGCCCCATTGCACGCAGATGATGCTGCAGGGTGCAGGCGGAGAGTGGCCGCAATGGCACTGCAGGGCCACCTGGGCAATCTGCTGTGATGGGCCATGGAGGTGGTAGGTGGCCCAGTGGGCGGGGCGAGGGCAGGGCAGTTTTTGGGCACTCAGTGTCTAAAAGGTTCACCATCGCTGATCTATGCTGATCTGAGTGCTGATTACTGATGGAGAGGTGCTGGAGTCTTTTTCTCTTTGGGGATGATTGACTGTCTTTTCATAATCTATAGATGTTGTTACTGTCTACAGTATATGTCTTTTGATAGCTGATTTGTCAGAGTCCCAGGCTTCTAGAAATTCCCTGGCATTGTTAGATTTAGCCTGGTCTAGGATTTTCACATTTTCCCAATTGAAACTATGTTTAAACCTGTCTATATGTTGTGAAATTAAAGACTTTTCATCATGCCTTTTAACTGCCTGTTAGTGTTCATGGATGTGTTCTGCCAGTCTTCTGCCTCTTGGTCCTACATAGTGGGTATTGCAGTTCTTATACTGTATTTTGTAGATGACTCCTGGGTTTTTTTTCTGGGGTTGCTGGGTCTTTAGGTTTACTTAGGATGTTTTGAAGGACTTTAGTTGACTTATGTGCTACACTGATTGCATGTGCTTATAGTAGCCTATTTGCAGTTTCTGAGATATTCTTGATGTATGCAGTGTAATTCTTTTTAGACTTTATGTTGGTTGTGCTGTATTGGATTAAGTTGTCAGGGACATTTTGATGAAGTTGCATGGGTATCTATTTTGTTGGAATGCGTTGTATAGATGCTCCATTTCCTTTTTCTGCTGTTCTGGATTGCTACAGTGTGTTTGGGCTCATTTAAATAAAATCCTTACACAAAGAATCCCTAAGACTGTTCCCACCCACACAGACAGGCAATGCCATGGTTCCGAAAGTAGAAGCTCTTCAAAGAACTTTTGAGGCATTGTTTTCCTTAAAGAATCTTTTTACTTGCTACGTAGCTTTGGCACGTACATAGTGAAGCCAAAATCTGAATTCTCCTCCCCCCAATCACCTGTAACAAAGCATAACTCACTCCTTCATTTAACAGTCATCAATCACGTTCTCCAATTAGTACATTCTTTCCCCCCTCCCTTCCAACACTATCTGACTTTAACTTTAGAAGTAATACACAGGTTAAATAGAAAATGTCTGCTTCTTCATATATTGTCAAGCAAGAACGTTCAATGTTAGCAGCCTTGACAGGCAAGACACCAGAATATAAAGTGACAGCAAACAGCACTCCTTACTAGCACTGATGATGCTACCTAGTTAGGTTAATGAAACGTCTGTAAAAAAACAGGAAAACTCAGAGAGCACCAAGGACCCCTCATTTCAATCTTGAGCTACAAATATTCTCCTTCATTGAAGCCATTTCTACATCAAGAAATCTATCTAATTGATAAAACCCAAAATCAAAGTTTCATTTTTTTCCCATCTCAAGCACAAAGATCAGAAGCGGTTTCCAAGTAGAAACAAGAGTAGTTATGTTTTTTTTTTCATTTATCAAAGTAGTCAATTTAGCCATCTCCGCTAACTCCTTCAACTTTTGCAGCCATTTGTCCATTGTAGGGATCAAAGTGTTCTTCCATTTTTGTGTATAAAGTAATCTTGCTGCTGTCAACATATATAACATCAAAGTTCCCAAAAAAATTTCCAAGTTTTTTTCCATTAAACCCAAAACAAAAGTTTCTGGTTTTATCTTTATATTCACTTTAAGAATCTTCTGTATGATAGATTTAATTAAACATAAGATGGATATTATTGTGAAGGAAGATCTAGGACAGCAGATAAAACGTATTAAACAAAATTTCTTCGACAACGCCAATAAACCAGGGAGATGGTTGGCTTATAAAATCAAAAAACATAACAATAAGCAGAGGGTTACTAAACTTTATAATGCCAAAGGTGATATGGTATGCCAGAACGAAGGAAAGAAGCTAGTGGCATATGAGTTTTATAAGAATTTATACAAGGACGACGAAAAGAGAAATAACTATGACATAGTACAGTATTTACAATTAGCCGATTTACCCAAGGTGCCAGAAGAATTTAAAACTCTTCTGAATAAAGAGATAACACATTTAGAGTTCTCGGTCGCAATTAAGAAACAGAATAATAATAAAGCACCTGGGCCAGAATCTTTAAGCCCAATGCTGTTGGATTTATTTAATGAGGTTTTAACCCAAGCTAAAATACCAGCTTCATGGAAGAAGCCTTCCTCACTTTGATTCCTAAAGAAAACACAGACCTGGCGCAAATTAAAAACTATAGACCCATTTCTCTTTTGAATTCGGATTACAAGATTTTCATGGCAATAATGGCGCAAAGATTTGAAAGGTTCTTAGTGGATTTTATACATACTGATCAAAACGGCTTTCTATCTAAAAGATATATAAGAAACAATATTAGGACTGTTTTGGACATATTGGAGTATTATGAAGTACATAATGAAAAGCAAATGTGTTTAATTTTTCTTGATGCACAAAAAGCATTCGACAATGTAAAATGGGATTTTATGTTCAACCAATTATTGTATATGGACTTTGGGGGAAATTTCTTAAATATGTTTAAATCAGTTTATTCTAAGCAAGTGGCCAAAGTAATAATCAATGGAGAACCGACTGAGAGTTTCCAAATTCAAAAAGGCACGAGGCAAGGTTGCCCACTATCACCACTGTTGTTTATATTATCTCTTGATGTATTAACTAGAGTAATCCGGCAAGATGAACAGATCCAAGGTTTAGAAATCAAGAAAGAGACATTTAAAATACAAGCCTTTGCAGATGATTTAGTCTTTATAATTGAAGAACCACTACAATCAGGGACAAGACTGATGGAAACACTGAATAGATACGGGGAAATAGCAGGTTTAACGATAAATAAAGAAAAAACTAAAATGCTCGTCAAAAATATGACTAAAATACAGAAAAATGAATTGGTTGACAGAATAGGTGTTCAAATCACAAATAAAATTAGATATTTAGGGATACAACTGACTGCCAAATGCACTACACTTAAAAGGGATAACTATGATAAGTTAATAGAACAGATTCAAAAAGACTTTGATATTTGGACTAACCTACAGCTCTCTCTTATGGGCAGAATTGCGGTGATTAAAATGAATGTGTTGCCAAAAATCTTATTTTTGTTCCAATGTATACCTATAAAATTAGACAAGAAATTTTTTCAAAATTTGAATAAAATAATGTGTAAATTCATCTGGCAAGGAAAAAGAGCAAGGATTAAATTAAAATTATTGCAGGACTCAAAGAAAAGGGGGGGATTTGGTCTTCCAGACTTGGAGAAATATTACCAGGCTACAGCATTACTATGGGTAAGAGATTGGATATTACTAAAAAACAGGAGACTATTATGTTTGGAACCTACAAATTGGATGGCATGCCACATTATGGGATCATAAATATAAAGTACATAAATATTTTCGAAGACACTATATTAGGCAAACTCTTATTGATGTATGGACAAAAATTTGGCAACCAAATTATACCCAAGTACCTAGTTGGATCTCACCGTTAGAAATATATGTACACCCAAAATTTACCCAATTAGACAAGACCATAACATATAAAAATATCTTAGATGAAAGAGGGGAATTGAAATCCAGAAAAACCCTCCAGGATGAAGGGATAGAATTAGAATGGTGGGCATACCTGCAACTGCAGGCGAGATATTGGAAAGACAAAAAAGAGTTAGGCATTAAATTAGAATCAATAGAATTGGATAAAATAATATTGGGGTCGGAGGATAAAATGATTAAAAAATTATACCACTATTTGTTAGATCAGGTAATGTACGAGGAACAAGTAAAAGTGACTATGTTGAATTGGAGCAAGGACTTTGGTCTTAATTTGATCTGCACATCTGGCAAGAACTATGGGCAAGAAACAAGAAGCTTACTTTGGCCACCTCTTACAAAGAGAACCTTTACAAAATGTTTTATAGATGGCATCTCCCACCCACAAGATTGGCTAAAATGTGTACCAATGTCTCCCCTAAATGTTGGAAATGTAATTTGACAAGTGGAGCTTACTATCATATGTGGTGGGAATGCACGTGAGCTCGTGATTTTTGGAAGAGGATTAAAGTATGGTTGGAAGAAATATTAGAGCAAGTGGTATAACCAAAACCAGAGCTCTTTCTATTAGGTTTAACTACCCAAAAGCATGACAAAGGTGTACTTTATTTAATGCTACACATTTTAACGGCTTCCAGACTGGTTTTTGCTCAAAATTGGAGGAATAAGGGAACTCCAACGGAAGAAGAGATCCTGCATAAAAAAATTTTTTTTTCAATTTTTATTATTTTATTTTCATTACAATCATAAGAAAAAAAATTCCAATACATAAGAAGTTAAAATACAACACACAATTTCCGACATTGCTCACCCATTTCCCCCCAGACCGCATCCCCCTCTCATCTCTTCACTTCCCCCTTCTTTCTACCTCCTCCTCTCCTCTCTTTCTCCTCCATCTTTCTACTTACTTGTCTCTCTCCTCTTCTTCTCAATTGGATGCGGTCTGCGGGAAAATGCCCGAACAATCCTCTATCACCAAAATCTGAACTATTGAAC